CTGCTTCTTCTTCTTCTTCTTCTTCTTTGGTGTTTTTGTGTCTTTCACACAGACATAAATATTAGGCAGTTAGTTTTTCGTTCGTTTCTTTTAAACAGCACAACCTTACTATGTATGAACCTGATTTACTGTGAGCTTCAGGCTCATCGGGCAGGAGAAAGTCAGGAATCTGAAGACAGGGCAAGTGTCTGCCCGGCTGCTCCTCTCTCTCCTCCACCTCACTCTCCTCTGTGACAGAGTTGAAGGTGATGCTGGGGTGACTGCTGCCCTCTGCATCTAAACTGGATGCAGACTTCGTCACCTCCTTCTTCCTCTCGTCTTTTTCTTCTTGAGCTTCTCTTAAAAATGGAGGCTTGTCCTCAGGGTGTCTCTCTCTGTCCACCTCACTCTGGTCACCCTCTCTCTCTCGCTGGACCTGTTCAAGGAAACTTTGAACCTGTGAAACAAAAAGACTTTTTTCATGAGCGTTCTGTGTAACGTTCAAACAAACAAAGCTCTGCTCGACTTCCTCCTGTCTAACCTGTTCCAGTCCCCCATGCTTTTAATCTACAGACATGCCAGGATGACAGATAAAGGACGTGACTTTCAGTGATTTCCACTGCGATGCTTCTTTCTAACCTCGTCTTTCATGCTCACAAAACTAAAAACATCTAATCTGTGCGAGCTGATCAGGCTACATCAGATTAGTTTGCTGCTCTCAGTCTTCAGCATGTTGCAGGTCGTACCTTACAAAGGGCGGAGCTGCTCTGTGAGCTGTCTCTGCCCATCTTTGAGAACCTGCTGCGTTTGTTGGTGCTGCTGATTGTTCTCTTGGTCCGTCGCTGCTTCTGACACTTTGAAGCTGAGCTTCCTTTGAAGCTTAACACACTGTTGAACCTGAGACATGAACACATTGTAACAATTTAGACATTTAAAAACATTTTTACACTCAAACAGCCGCGCTCACATAAACCTTTATGTTTCTAAACAGCCAGAGAAACAGGGCTCAGACGTGGGCTGGGTTCATTCATCTCACTGGAGCCGATACCTGCAACACTTCAAGCATAAAAACTCTCAATTTGCAGCATTGCAGGCTTTCTGTGTTCTAGATGTTGGTGAAGTTAACAGCTTTCATGTCAGATGTTTGTCTGTTAATGAAGAATCAGTGCTGTTAAAATCAGCACACAATGCAGCATCACATCTCCTGTGTACTACAGGGACAATCACTCGCCCTGTGCTTTCCCTGCTGTGAGAGGTCTGTTGGGAAAAGTTGTTCCACACTTCCACAGTGTGTATTTGCTCCCATCTTCCTCCTCTCAACCTGAACCAGTCGCAGAAGATACTGGGAGTTTCTTCCTGTTTAAATGGTTTTTCCTTCCCACTGTTGC